TGGCCTCCCACCCAGCACTGCTCAGTCCTTGCGCCTGGGCAGACGGGGTCCCCCCAGACACCCCTAAATCTCCACTTTCATTACCAGGGGCCGCCAGGTGGACGACGGCAACTACTGAGCTGGTGAACTCAAGAGCAGAACGTGAGACTCACCGTCCCCTCCCTGCTGGTGCTGAGGATGCACAACTTAAGACCCCAGAATCCAGGAGTGTCAGGACGGGGCCACATTTGTGCATTTAGTTTTCACAATGGGCTGAACCTAACGGCTGTCCCACAGCTGCTTTCACAACTGCAAAAGTAACTAGTGTGCACAGCAGACCCCAAGCAGCCCCTATGTGCTCATGGAACAACAGGACAAAGAGGGTGACGCGGCGTTCGACTTACGCTCCAGGTCCTTGCCACGTCCACGTGATGGTGTCCTGGGGAGGAAGAGGCAGGGTCAGTCAGCACAGGGCCTGAACCCGGGGCTGAACCTGAACCTGTGTGCTGGTGCCAGCCTCTCCCTGCACCTCCTACCCCACAGAGGCGCTGCAGCCAGGGGAAGGGAGGAGGGTGCTAGAGCTCCAGCTTCCCGGAGCCCCTGAGGATCCAGGACTCAGACCAGCCCCCAACCTGAGGTCCCCAGAGCCTCTAAGGACCCAGAGAACTCTGGGTCTCTCTTGGACTTCCCCGCTCCCTCTACCCTCCCTCCTGACGTCAGCTCAGACATCAGCACCCAGGAGGCCCTGATAAGCCTGTGCACCCAGAGACCTCCTTACAGGTCCCCAGAGTTCCCCCAAGATCCCCGGAGTCCCTGAGGACTCAGAGGCCCCTCTTACAGGTTCCCAGAGCCCCTAGGATCTGGGAAAAGGGTCCTCCCTCCCTGCTTGCTCTCCTCTTTCCTCACAGGCCTGAGGACACCGATTCCAGTGTGCGCCCGGGACCCCAGCCCTCCCTGGCTCCCCGCTCTCTCCAAGTGCTCTGGGTATTCCCCCAGCCACTGTGCATGTGCAGGGTCCCCCCACCCCGGGTGCCCTGGAAGTCCCATCTTCAGCCTCAGCGCCGCCAGGCAGGGACCACACAGCAGGGGCCCTGATGGCAGAGGCCCGGACACTGTCACCCTGGGGTGGACCTTCTGCTCCCCTGACGGCCATGCTGGGTGCTTCTTGGTGCGTCCAGTAACAGTGTGTTGCTTTAAACACACTGATGAAACAATCTTAAAAAGTGGAAAATCCAGAGTTCTACACAGATCGGAGTCTGTTGTCCTTGGGTTGATTTTTTTGCCCATAGGAGTTGCATTGGGGCATGGTTTCTGCAGCAGAGGCAGGAAGGGGCCCTTGGCCAGGAGCCTGGCTGACAAACGCACGCCTCAGTTAGAAGGACGAGGCCTTTCAGTCGTGTGACTACTGGCCCCGACTCCATTTTATTACCTGACCATCAGCCCTCCGGGCAGCGTGAAACCCACAGGCATCGGATGGAACAGGCCCTGAGGCGGATGGGCCAGAACCCCGGCACCCAGAGGTCACCTGTATTTCTGCCCCGCTGTGTCCTGACCCGCGAGGTCTTTCTTTCAGTGCTTTCCTTTGCCATCACAGAGGAACTGCGATAGACGGGAAGCTCCCTGTGATGGACAGGCCCTCCTCGGCGCTCTCCCAGGTGGGTGCTCTACCAGGAACCTGCAGTGAGCCCAGCACCAGTGGGTTGTGGGGACCCTGAGTCCGCCTGGGCCGTCTTTATGCTCCAGGAGCCCATGAAGGGGCGAGGACTGTGGGAGTGATTGCAGTGGAAGGGGAAACAGCTGGCACCAAATGAATGCCCTGAGCTCAGCCGCAGCCCGTGAGGCGAGGCCGCCTAAATGGGGGGCCGATGGAACCGGAAGTATTCTGAGCATCCAAGAGCACCCAAAGGAAGGTGTAGCAGCCACCTTACAGGTGTGGAGACTGAGGCAGGACGTGGGCAGGGGCGGGGCCAGGGGGTGGGGCTGAGGCCAGGGGCGGGGATGGAGCAGGGCCTGGGTCAGGGGTGGGGTGTGGGGTAGGGTGGACCAGGGCAGAGCCAGAGCAGGCTGAGCCTCCTCCAGAGGCAGCAAGTCCCCATGAGGAACTGCTCTGAGGCCTCATCCAGGCTTTCTCCCCAAAGGGGGGGTCCACCACCTTCACCCCAGGAGCTCTGGACCCCAAACGCCTTCTTACTTTTGTTCTCTTAAACCAACACAAAACCTGGGCACTAAATGATAAAACCACAGAAATGACA